CACTATAAAAGCAAAAGCTAAATGCAGGCTTCACAGTGTTCTGGTTTCATATTCCCCCCCCCCCAAGAAAAAACTAACAAAATCTGAATATTTGCTGAAGACCTACTATCACAAACTATTTAAAGACCCTGCATTATCCAGTGCTAAATGTAACTCCACAAATCTGCACTGCTGTTACATTGGTATTTAGTTGTATTATGTTCAAACCAGATTTCATTAAAATATGTACAATGACTAAAAACTTATTAAGAGAGCCAACCACAAAGTCATAATACTTGTAACATAAGCTTATCTTTCTTTATAAATAATAAAAATAATAAAAAGTTGAGAAGAAAGTCCTTTTATGATATGATGCTAATTCTTTTACACAAGGTTTCCCATGAATATACATACATTTTTTAAAATCTTTATTAATCTTATGCAAAATGAGCACAACTGGGACTACAAAACACAATGTGCTACATTAATTTATCCCAATGTATCTAATCCAAGTGAGTTAATGAAATGCCAAACAATTGTGACAGAAGAAAGACTTCTTACAAAAGAAGAGCTAAGAACAGTAAAAGTAAAGCAGTGCCAACCGATGCCATCCCAGATTCAGTACTGCATGGTTGCTCACCTGTGCTTCATGTGGCAAAGGAACCCAATGGGCAGCAGGCAGGAGATCTTCAAACTGAGCTGGAGCTGGATGAGATGCCTTAGTGGAAATATCTTGTAAAAACACGGACTGCTGGGCACTCGGCCACAAACCACTACTCAGCAGCCGAGCGAAGAACAGTGAAAAGAAATGATCCAGTGCAGGGCGATAGTCTTGGTTTGTGAAAGCACTAGCCAAAAAGAGAAAAATCTGTAATTACTAGCGACAACAGTACAAAGAAATTTAATTTGCAGCCTGTTTAAAAAACTACTATATTAACCAACTCACCAGTCACTGGGCAGTTATTCTGCTTACTGAAAATTCTAGGTTCTTATGGAACTGAAGGGTTCACTAAAGACATTACAAAACCACATCAATTGAACTTGGACTGTGCCTGATCAATCAAGTGTACATCATAGAAACCCATTTTTGTAAGTTCCTATTTTAGTATTATACTGCTCTCTCATCTAGGTTTAGCAGCAGGTCTCTTCCCAGAAGATTTTGAAACCAACAGTGTCTATGCATTTCTTACATCTACCATGCAATTTACATACCCCGCCCATCTCATCCACTCTAATCATTCTTAAAAACATTTCGTATAACCAATATTTAGTTCAAAATAATCACACTTCATAGCTATATGATTAATTGCAAAATTACTAATACAATTCATTGATTCAGTAAGCATGCTCTGAATGTGAAGGACCCATACTGATCGGAGCTGATTAAGGTTTCTTTAATTTTCTAGTATTGGGAGGGGGCCAGGATGCAGGCAGCCTGGTAGAGAAGAAGAAGGAACTTGTAAGGAGAAAGGACAGCACAATATAAAAAATACTGTTAAACAGTAGTACAATACCTTAAAAACACAGTATTTTATTTAATATATATTTTAAAGAAATTAGGGTACCACTGTTTATTATACTTACTGTGACAGGGTCTGGTAGTTGAATTGTAAACAACACACCAAATCAGCTGTTACCTGCACAGCTTCATACAAGGAACACCTACAAGAAATATTCAGGCATGTAAAAAGTCAGCTTTTCATTTCTGTATCCAAACACTAGACCACAGGTGAAATCCCAAATGAGGTCCAATAATGTGACAATGTGTCCACTGGCTGGGCCTGCTGGAACACTGGTGGAATGATGGTCTGAGAGGAAAAAATTATGTAGAGATAAACCTAAATCAACAACACTGTGATCATCACAATTCCTACATACTTAAACTATGCACTAAATCCTGGGCCTCTAGAGTAAGAAGCCAGTGTCCAGCCACTTTAGCTATGGTATGGACACAGAAGCATGAAGACAAATATGATATTAAACATTTTACTGGCAAATGATTTACTGTTACTGCCTCATATCTAAAGGAAAGACCTAGGTGTATATGATAATTAATCAACTGGTTTTGTTAAAACAACAACAGTGTAACTATCAGCTTTTCAAGGAGGGCTTTGCTCCATGGACTGGAGTGAGTGAAATAGAGTAATACTTAAGGAATCTTTGTATAATGAAGAAATGCATTGTTCCAGTGACATAATGCTTTTTATCTTCTTGAAACAAGAAATTTATTCTTAGGGTGACAAAAAATCTATTAATTGAAAAATATATTATTATTTCATGACCTCTGTTCAAAGGAGTACAGAACAGTGAACAGTATTCTGAATCACAAATATAAATCACTCCGTCCAATGTGACCTGTAAGTTTTTTACTACATGAAAACTTAACACCCTTAACAAATCAAACTCAAAAAAAGTATTCTGAAATTATAACAAATGCTTTATATGACATTTCTCAAGTTTAATGTTTTTTAATGTTTATATACTGAAAGTTCACATTATCTGTGCCCTCTTGTTTGTAGACTATGTTACTGACTGACTGACTCTTAAGTTATTTATTGTCAAAGTTTCAACTGCAGGAATCACAGAATATGGGATGATCACAAATGGTAAGCAGGAATTTGCCAAGAGGTTGTCACATCCTACTCAAAGTTTCTACACTAGCAATTAATTGGAGTGACCAAGAAGATCACATAAACCTTAGTCAGGATAGTGGGTACCTTGGCTGGGATTCTAACTGGATACTCTCTGAATACATGTTTGTATGACGAGCCTCCAATTATGTCATTCAATATTTCTCATCATCTGCCTCATTCCAAACGATTTCCATATTTTTAACAATGTGATGAAACATAAAGCTGAAGTAGATGTTCTAATGGCTGGATTTCATGACAAGAAAATGAAGCATGTAGCTGTTAAGCTGATAAATCTATTATATAATTTTAATTAAAATCTTTAGTTAAAAACAATGTGCAACTAACAGCCCCAAACAGCAGAGTCCTTCTTGAGAAGCCTACAGTGGCTCAGCTAGTCAAATGTACAGCCTCTTATGGAACCTGAAGGTTCAGTATTGTCTTCACAAAAGTCTGTCATGGACTCTATCCTGACCCACTACCTTATGATTCTTCTTAATACTGTTCTCTTCCATATGGCTGGATTCCCATGTGGTCTCTTCTTTTGAGTGTTCCAGTTTTCACTAATCTCATGCATGCTACATTCCCTGCATGTCTCCTCCTTAATTTTATCCCCTTTGTATTTATCAAAGACTACACCATGAAGCTCTTCAAAATGTAATCCTTTTTTCACCATCCACTAATTTCCTCTCTTTTAGATCTAAATTTTCTCCTCCAATTTCTTTTCATAAACCTTCAACCTACGTTCTTCTTGTGGGGTGAACAAACAAACGTTACACAAATACAAAAGAAGCAAAAGAGTAGTTTTGCTTTATGTGAAGTATATAATGTGACCAACCTGTTATCTGGCACTGCAAGCAGCATAAGTTCCTTTCCTTGAGCTGTGTACACCACATGGGTTAACTGACCATGCAGCAGAACAGTTGAACTGGAATACAGTAATGAACAACCACTTTCAGCTACCATTCTCATTTAATCACTGTTGTTTATTATTTTTATGTAGTTACAATACTTACCCAAATGGAAGACAAGTTGGAATCTAAGACGATCCCTTTCTGATAACAGTGTCTGCGCATATAACGTGATTTTATGTATTAATCTCACACAGTTACTTACTACAAGCACACATATGAAAGCAATAAATGTTTCAGAACACACTATATGTTACATTTCCTAACTCATTTTCTTATTTCCCACATTCACTGCCTTCACCATTCCCCACTTCAGCACCTTCACTGTAGTTCCCTTTGTGAGGGATCACTGCTTTGAATTTACAGCTTCAGTGTAACTTCAGACAAACTTATGATAGCTCACAGCTTCTGACCTTAAAACATATTTCTCATATCAGTTTCAGTGTTACTTCACAGCTTCTGATCTTAGAACACATTTGTTTCTCTCTCACCTGCTATGCTTAACAGCATGATACAGCATAAGTGTAAGCACTTACTATCTCTTAAAAAAAATATGCTAAAAGCTTACAGCTACTCAAGAATTTCCTATCATTTTTGTAACCCGAAGGTTCATTACCGTGTTCACAAGAGTCCTCCACTGGTCCCTATCCTAAGCCAGATCAATCCAATCCATACCATCCCATCCTAATATTGTTCACCCACCTACAGAAAGTACACCTGTCCAAATGTATCTGCTTTCTCAGTCTTCTAATGTGACATTCAAGCAAGAAGATATTACAAAATATGTAATTCTACTACACTTTGGTCAGTGGAACTTGGTGATCAGCTTCATGCTCTGGCTAATTTATCTATAGGGAAGAGCCCCAGTACCCAGTGGGTAAGAGGCTGAGTCAGCCCCAGAGCCAGTGGAATATAGTGACAAAGAGAGAAATAAAAACCCAGCCTCTGTTTGGAATCAAATGTCAATCAACTAGCCCGTAGCCAGTTACTTTAATGAATTATCCTGAGTCTTGGGAAAACACAGCATATGACATTAATAAAACACAAAACTGGTGGGAATGCACAATTAATGTTGAATGAGATAGGAAGATGTCCATAAGTAGTGAACAGATATAGATCTAGAACAAGATCATCTTGATCTATTTACAGGTATTGTCATAAGCCTGGAGACAGGAAGACCACACAGAATGTGACTCAGGATGGTTGGTATTTTGGGTAAGACCCAAACTTGACAACGGTAAATCACAAGTCTAGAGCATTACAACTACTTAACATGCTCATTTCTTCCTTGTGAATGCTTCACACATCAGAAGTGGATTCCTTCATCTAAGTCAGTGGGGAGGGAGTGGAAAGAAGCCAGAGAGGTCAGGGAGGAAAGGGGGAAAGAATTCTATCAAGAATTGCTCTTTACCAGAGATGACAGTACAGTATAGAAATTTACCTCACTGGTGGAGATGGTGCCAAATCAGGAAGCAGATGCTGTAAAGTGAGGAAGGCTCCTCGTACAGAACCTAGTGTGTTCTTCTGAAGAGGAGGTGGATAGCAATACACAACGCCCTGGTTCTCAGGACCTCCTTCAGTGAGGCCTTCCTGGTTGAGGTACAACACTCCAACTGGGAGCTCCCTCAGTACACAGCTAAGTTCATCTTCGCCTGTGGTTCCTAACAACTGTTTCACCAAATCTGACTGCTGAACTCCCTGCATACAAGAAAACTGTTTGATTTTATGATTAAAATGATGTGCCACCTCTGAGAATTAGAATGGAAATTAAATAAATATGGTACACATATTATTTGTAAGTATGATGTTATAAAATTATTTTTTTTTATTTCCATCATGCTAAAAGATATTTATAATAATTACTTCTGTACAGCCAAAATGATTCATGAGAATGTGACAAAAGAGATACAGTTTACCCTGTGCTTGAATAACTAGGCACCACACCCTGGAGATGTATAAGGGAGTTGAGGTAGAGCAGAATTCTTAATATTGGCACCAGATGGAGGAGGGTGGTGAGCTTCATGAAGTCCCTGCCACTTTACCTCAGGGAAAGAATCCACAGTACCCACTGAGCAGGAGGCTCGGTGGGACTCACAGCTGGTTTGGATGCTGTGGAGCACAGAAAAATCTCTTGTGCCTGCCAGGAATGAAACCCCAATTCCTCATCCAGTACTCTGTCGCTATACCGACTCAGATATCTGGCTCCCTATCAGAATGGGATGTGTGATAAAATTAAACAGGCTTTTACTTCTTGGTAAAGAATGAAACAGTGTATAAAGTACAGTTCTGCACATGCATGGAGCAACTGATCATAAAGGGATCCTTTATATAAGGTATTGTAGAGCGTGAGTTCATTGGATTTGTTTTCAATTTACCTAATCCTTCCAGCAGCACTATGGCCCTGAGGTCGACTCAGGGCCAACAGAAATAAGTACCAGGAATATTCCTGGAATGTTCTTGGGGGTAAAGGGAGGCTGGAGCGTTAGGCTGACAACCTTACTGCCATCTATGAGCTGACTGTATAGAAAATGTGGGAACCTCAACATCTCACAACCCTATGGGCCTCCATGGCCTGTTACAGGGATATCTTTACTTTTTTTACTTATTGAAGAGCTGCTCTGTTTCTGCATTTTGGAAAACACTCCTCTTGCATGGATAATGAATTACTGAAAGGCTTCTACTAGGAAGGGGTGATACAGCAGAATGTAGACAAACATCCATACTCAACTCTTAATTCAAATCTGTGATCCCAGTGTTTGACTGGTCCATGACCAGGCTTGGACATTGTGCCCACTGGGTCTGACTTCTTGTATGTGCTACTTTGCACATTTAAAGCCCATCCTGTGACCACTATCAGAATGTTTAAATAATATTCTAATGCATTCTCAGTCATCACTCAGTGGGATTATTAAAAAGAGAGACGGCACAATATCTACTTAGCTGTATGTTGGTCTCTACCAGGCCTACAATGCCTTACCTTTGAAGATACAGTTGAAAATATATTTTATATAACTGATCTGATTTATGGGAATCAATCTTTTGTATTTAAAATACCACTAAAGTTATACAAAAGAGAAATAATAAATGCATTTAGTATTCACGATTTAGGAACATTATTGTGAATACTGCAGAGAAGTTAAAACAATTAGTTACATTCTCTAATTAGAGGAATCCATTAATGGTTCATATAATTGGCACAAAAATTTCCTGCCTTCTATGGAACCTAAAGGTTCAGTACTGTGTTTACAATAGCCTCCCACCAGACACTATACTAAGTTGCATGAATTCAGTCAAAATTGTCTCTATTTTCTTAATATCCACTTTAGCGGCCTCTGTAGTCTAGGGGTAATGTTCCCACCTCATGACTCAAGATACGCGGGTTCAAACCCGGCGGAGGTTGTGGAACTTTTAAGGGCAGAAAAATTCAGGGAACAAGTCCTCTGGGAGGGACTTTAAGCCATGGGTCCCATGTTGTAGCTTTACGGCATGCAAAAGAATCTCATGCCTCAAGGAGGTCTCTGAGCCAAATTACAAGGACGTTTCCCGCCCAACAATAGTCTCAAACGCCTCTGGTAGATGGGGGAAGCATCTAAATACCGCTGAGCCAGTAGAGGCTGAACTTGCTGGCTGAGTCGGGACTGATGGCAAGCACCAGTATCAGTAGGGTATAGAGACTGGTAGAATATCACAGGGGGACATACAATAGACCACTGATAGTGTTGTTAATCATCAAGTAGCATTTATGGTTAAAGGATCATATCTTATGTTTCATGCATAAAACAATCCCTAGTTTTAGTGGACTCATTTTTAAGCTTAAAGGTTCATCTTATATGCCACTACATGTTGGAAATTATTACAATTTTTTAGTGTATAAGGTACAAACCTTAGATGGGCTTCCAAGTGACAACTGCTCTGTAATATCACAACCTGCAATTCGCTGCAATTTCAACTGTACCTGCAGAGAGAAGGATCAACTGAGAACATAAAATTGGGATCAAATTTTTAGCAGCACCATGTGGTATATAAAAATAATAGCTTACCTTACAGGGAGTGGTGATGTTTGTAAGAACTGAGTCAATGTTTTGAAATGTAACTTCATGTCCATCCACACTTCGTAACCAATCACCTATGATAAAAAATTAAAATTACTTTACATACAAATTATATTTAACTATCACTTTAGAATTACATAACCAGCTTCGAAATTTAGATCTTGTCTATCTTAACATCTGAGCACACTCTACAAGGGCCTTACCAAAGGAAATACTGAAGATTTTAACTCTTTATTGCAAAAAGAAATATGGCAAGAGAGTCGTTCTATCTCACATGTTAACTCATGCTTTAACACTTTTATGGACATGATCCTTTATCATTTTAATACAGCATTTCCAATAAAAATTGTTTATAATAGTAACTTAAGAAAAAAATTGATTACCCAAGAAATACGAATCTCATGTAAAAGAATGAGATTGCTAAATGGTTTTAAAAAACATAATAATCTTTTGAGGGATATGCAGGACTACATAAATAGATATCATTTCATTTATAAGAGAGTCATCAAAGATGCTAAAAGGATAATGACAAATATGTTTTAAAGGCTAAAAATAAACCAAAAGCTATGTGGCATGTAATAAATAAAGAAGCTGGAAAATCTTTGAAACATGATAAAAAATCTGAATTACATGTTGGAACTAATATAATATAAGATCCCGAAGACGGGGCAGATATGTTAAACAAATACTTTGTCGAAATAATTGATGATCTCTTGAATTGAAATAGTAGTAAAAATGGTAATTTTGCACAGGTGCCGAAACAAAGGATAAATTTCGGTCCAAAAACAATGTTTCTTTGTCCAGTTACTGAAGATGAAATAGAACGTGTAACAAAAAGTTTAATAGGCAAACTATCAGCAGGTTATGATGAAATTCCAGAATATCTAGTGAAACAATGTATAAAATATATTAAAAAACCACTTGTTCATATTTACAATGCCTCATTAAGTTCAGGCACTTTCCTAGACAGACTGAAAATAGCAAAAGTAATACCTATGTATAAAAACGGGGACATTCATGATGTCAAAAATTATAGACCTATTTCCATTCTATCAGTATTTTCCAAAATACTAGAAAAAATAATGTATTAGGTTAATACCTTTTTTAGTGGAAAATAATGTAATAACAGAAGCCCAGAATGGCTTTAGGAAAAAGAAATCAACAGACACAGCAAGTCAGACTTTTATTGAAAGTATACAGGAGGCACTAGATAAAGGAATTCATGTCATAGGATTATTCTTTGATTTAACAAGGGCATATGATGTGATAAATCATGATATATTATTAAATTATATTCATATGGCATAGAGGTGAGTCAGATCTGTTTAAATCTTATTTGTCAAATCGATCCCAGTTTGTTGAGCTTGGGGACACAGATTGTAGAAATCCCCTTAGACAAAGGTACACTTCTTTGTACGAAAGTGGATCAGTGTTGGGGCTGCTTTTATTTTTGCTGTATATAAATGATCTCACTGAAAATGTTTGAGGGGCAAAGTTGGTTCTGTTGCAAATGATACTAATTTGTTAATTACTGGATTAGATGAAGATGACCTTCAACATAAAATAAAAAACGTGATGAAAGAGTTAAAAATATGGTTCGCGAAAAATAATCTTAATAATAAATTTTAAAAAAAAAAAAAAGTTTGCTATGTCATTTCATCCAAAACAAATGACAGTTCTGTTAAGACCACAAATAAATCTTACAACTTTAGAAATTACATATAAATCAGAACTAAGATTTTTAGGTATTTACATCACAGAAAACCTAAAATGGGGCACCCATGCTTGATTTTTAAGAGCTAAGCTATGCAAAGTAGTTTATATGATAAAAACATATTATGGGGCGGGGACAATGAATGTGACAAACTCTTTAAACTGCAAAAAAAGGTCCTTCAAATTATCAGTGGGGTTCATAATTGAACATCATGCCGATAAATTTTTAAAGATAATATTTTAACATTGGCAGCACTATACATTTCTGAAGTGATATGTTTTATTAAAAAATATAAAGACTCTATGGCAAAAAATGTGGACATCCATAATTACAACACGAGAAGAAAACTAAATTTACATGTAAATCATTGCAATACAGTTCTTTCTAAGAAAAGCGTTATAAATATGGGTATCACCTTGTATAATAAGGTCCCTGAGCAGATAAAAAAAAATAACTCTTTTAAGAGGAAGTTAAAATCTTTGCTGTTGAAACATTCCATTTATTCCGTTGATGAATTTATGTCCCTAAAATTCTGAAGTGAGTGTGTTATGGTTTTAAGTTATGACAAGTATCTTGTCCTCACTTAATCTATAAAAGAAAATATTGAATGTTGGGTTTCTTTTGGTATTGAACTGTTGAAAGTGGGACGATGTATTGTATGATAGATTTGTATGAAATCTGTAGGTAATTAAGTTTCATAGTATTGCTGACTCATGTATGATATGTATGTTATTTTAATATGTAGTAATTTACTTGTTCTATATCTGGAGGTTGTATCTACAAATATGGATTCTTGGAACAAATACACTGATTGATTGATTGATTGATTGACTGATTGATCAGAGTTCAGAGACTCATCCAAAAACACATGGAATATATGTTCCAATACACATAATATAAATTTGGACATACTATTGCAATTTAACCCTGTCAAAGTACTTTCCTTGCAACTGAATATTCCAATTTTTGCAATCCTGCTACTTCTAAGACTGCCTAATACTCAATGAAATAAATAAATGCTGCAAAGGAAACAGAATCAGTTACAATATTAAGTTTTATACAATTGTGGCAGTGTCAAGTGAATTAGTTATATGGAACTGAATGTGAAGCAAAGTTAAAGGCTTGAATCTGAGCCATGGAGTATGAAAATAAGAGACAAAAACTGACTGCAAGAACCCGAGATAAAACAATTTCAACATACTTGCTGAAGACAGGAAGAAAAACAGTGACATATACAGACATGAGGCATTAATCATCCGTTTAGAGTATGAATGACAGTACAATACTGAACAAAGTAACTAGCAATGTAAATAAAATGTATATACACACGAAAAGTAAGACAGAGAAAGACATGAAGGAAGAGATCAAAGATGAGAGAACCAGATGTGCACTAGTTATACTGAACTTCATGATAAAGTTGTCCTGTGTGCTTACACACCATGTCATGAATACATATGGGGGAGTGGAGACAAAGCTCCATACATTAACACTGGCACTAAGAGCACGTGTGTGACCAGTTTCTTGTTCAGCTGCTTTACTCCTGGAGAAAGAACCACTGATACCAATCTGATATAGTGCTAATGGAGCCCAGAGCTTGTATGGGCATGGCAACAATGAGAAAAATCTGGGCCCCTATCATGGACTGTGCACTTTCTGTTCAGCCCACAGCCAGTTACACAGCTATCTCAGCTACATGATTTTGTAAAAAAGTGAATAATTATAATGTGTTTATAAAGAAAAGCAGATGAGAAACAAAAACATTTTTTACAATCAAAATGTTTAAACTGGATGCTCATTCTACATTTCACGAAAGCTACCTTCATGACAATACATAACCATACATAAAGAAATATATTGCCACGTGTATGAGTGACTATATATTGGATTTGGATGGGTAACTGGATTTATTAAACACTTATACACAACTTGTAACTACAAGTAACTACAGCACTATCACTGATTCACACACTTTACAATTCACTATAACATGCAATAAGTTTTTCAGTCTGTTGTCTCTTCACCTGTCGTCGCTCGGTAGCAGATTCCAGTGGTGGATGTTCCCTTTACTCTGGGTTGCTGAAATACCAGCTTCTTAACAACAATGGCTCACAACTATTTCAGTATGTTGCAGCCATCATCTAGCAATGACCACTATTTACAGAGTCACCACTTAGAAGAAACGGGTCTCCATGATACAAAATGCTAACATCAGATACGGAAATTTATTCATAGCTAAAACCATCTACTTCAAATGGTTCTTGTGTACATACCAACTTTTATACTGCGATGTTTAATGGCTTGACCATTGGGAATGAATCCAGCAACCATAATACGTGTCTCATCGGCAAATGTACTGATAACTAGTCCAAGGAGAGTCTCACACAAGGTTGCACGGCGGCCAAGATTGTGACAATCTTGTGGATCAACTGAAACGCTCACTTCACGAGCCTCACCCTCCTACAAGCATAAGAAATATATTTAATTTAAAACACACACATAAAAATACAAGCATAACAAGCTGATAACTGCATTTGGCAATGATGCTTTATCCTCTATTTAACAATGAGTAGTACTGTTTAAAATCAATACATATTAACTGACAACATTCTCTTCAGGTGACATCCATTTTGTAATCAGGCTTCTGTGGCAAAGCTGTACAATCTGATCACAGAGAAGAGGCATACCAACATGACACAAGGAAACAAATCAGAGTGTAAGGAATATACAAGAGCGTCTACAATGAAATTTCCTTATTTTGAAGATGTTTTGAAAACAGGTAAATGTTTTTTCAAGTGTTTAGTGTCTCCTGCATATGATAGGAGTTCAATTCCCACCTAAATTTTTAGGCTACCTCATGGGCCACTGTTGGGGTGCTCTTGTCATTTCAGGCAAAGATGCTGCTAGCTTACGAGAAGGTGCAAGTTGTGTAGTTTTCTGAGTTTAATTCCAGTGTGAGGGTGCAAAGGGAGCTTCATTGTATTTATGAGAAAGCAGCACCAGATGCTAACACACAAAGGGGATCAAAGCATGGCACAAGTTCCTAAAAACAGGGAGCATCTTGAAAGGGCATGGGGGAGGCTGATGTGTCTCTGATGAGAACGCAGAAAATGTCCATACAGCATTCATCTGAAGTCCAAGGCAGTCAATTTGTTGGGCTTCACAGGCACTGCAGTTGCCATGAGCAACTGTGCACAAGATTCCCTGAAAGCAGTTGTGTCTCTATGTGTACAAGGTGCAGATTCTGCAGGAGCTGAAACCAAAGGACAACCCATGGCAACACAGTTTTGCCTGTGACATGCTTGACTGAATCGGCGGACACCCCAAATTTCTGTAAAACATCATGTTTTCTGACGAGGCCACTTTTCATGTCTTTGGTGCTGTAAACAGGCAAAACATTTGGATATGGGGATCACAGGAACCATACAGCATCATGGAACATGTGTGAGACAGCCCGAAAGTGCACGTTTGGTGTGGCATCATGTGCAAAATGGTCATCAGACCGTTTTTCTTTGTGGAGAAGACTGTCACGGGTAGTTCATACCTGGACATGCTGCAGCTCTATGCCTTTCAACTGGAACACCTGCAGCCAAATGTCTTTTTTCAACAAGATAGAGCTCCTCCTCACTGGTGGCTACACATGTGGCGAGCTCTGAATGCAACATTTCCACTCCGTTGGGTAGGATGAGATGGCCCAAAGGCTTGGCCTCCACATTCCCTTGACATCATGCTGTTGAATTTCTTTTTGTGGGGCTATGTGAAGGACAGAACTTATGCTACTAAAGTGTGAGACCTTTGACATCACCTGGCCCAGATTGTGGAAGCTGTTGGTACCATCACTCCAGACATGTTGCAGCCTACCTGGGCTGAATTCGATGACAGACTAGATATCCTACATGTCACCAATGGTGCTCACGTAGAAGTGTATCGATTTTTTAAATTAAACTTTGGGTGCTGTGTGACTGATATTTGTCAATAATCAGACCATATCTACATTCCTTACTTCGTAAGAATATGACAAAATCAAGGCGTTTCATTGTAGATACCCTGTAATTCATATGCAACATATTTAAATGTTCTAAATAGACTATTACATGTAATTAATAATTAATCACAGCACATGAAACTGTACACTGTCATATTCACCTGCCAATCCTGGAATGTAACTTTATTGATGGTAGCTGTTCGGATATTAGACATCTCACATGGAGCCTGCACTGGCTGACCTTCTATTCCTGTTGGAATAGCCTTATTGAACCTCCGTTTGCTGTTTCTTCTTCTCTGTATAAGACGTACAAGCTTGCCTATCACAGGAAAGCATGCAACATTTCTATCATAAATGGTACAAATGTCATTTCCTACCATTACACACAGAGCATTAAGAATAGAGCATTCGTATCTTGTCTTATGGACTTTTAATTCCAGCACCACCACATGTAAAAAGCGAAATGTTTCACAGGCTTCCCCATAAAGAACTGAAACATAGTTATACCTCATGTGTATGCTGGTAAGCAACTTGCAGTTTACGTGTTTGCAGAGAAGTTTTAAATTTTGCTCCAATAACACCACCATACACTCATCTTTTTATTTATTCTTATGTACTGTAGTTTGCATAGGAGAGATAATGTCTGTGCAGTAAATTGTACAGGTATGTTACATATTTCCATTTCTTCACATGAGGGCAAACTAACCACTTCAGGATGACAATAACATTATAAAGGTCTGTTTCAAAATGTGATCAGATATGGACAATACACTTCATTTGAAGTTTGTACTATTCTTCAGTGACCTAGATCAGTGTCTCTTAATCCAAACTGCATTCCAGATTGGTAAAACATCTAAATTCTCTACTGCTGACCATTGAAATTATAGTTATAGATATATATTCAATTCTTAAATAAACACAGTGTTCATGCTATGTACACTATACAGAAAGAGTGTTGAAAGGCACTGCATGTAAACAGGATCATCTTTCGAAGAAAGTTGTCTTCTGGGTTTAGGCACCGTGTATTCTTCGTTTTGGCCGACGTTTCGGAGGAACGTAGCGCCTCCATCTTCAGAGCAGTTGAATAGCTGCGGAGAGCAGTAGCTGTGGTGGAGGCGCTACGTTCCTCCGAAATGTCGGCCAAAACGAAGAATACACGGTGCCTAAACCCAGAAGAAAACTTTCTTCATTGTCATCGCCGTGAAAACCTCAAAACTTACAGGATCATCTTTCCTTAACAGTTTTAGGAAAGCAAATATCTTAGGTAGTAAAAATTTCTGGACTGGTAAACATGTGCATCAGACAAGTGCCAGTCTGCAGACCAGCAGTTACGACACACTGGCCTACATTATTCCACTATACAGTACAATGCTGCTGCCACAAGTGCATCTTCAAACTTTCCAATCCTATACTATTACATGAGTATGAATCATTGTAGTTTCACTTGTATGTCCTGATGGAATGCTGAGGAAGAGGATACTTGAGAGTTGAGGGCATGTGGGGGAGTCTATACAGAAGTGGGCAGTTTGCAAGATGCTACAGTTCTCACCAGTAGATTTGTATCGACAATAAATGAACATATGCAAAAACAGAAACAAAAGTGTTTCCACTCTTGTTTATCCTAATTAATGGCAACTACAGTTTTAAAATTTAAGTTTCAGTTCTGATCATAAACTAACTTGGTATGCAGAACAAAACAGGTTACACATAATCCAGTATCAAAAAATTTCTAATTATAAAAACTGTCAGATTTAGACCTACTTGACATGACAAACCTTTTGCAGTATGCCTATTCTGATGAAGTGACCCTAGGTACTTCGCAGTATCTGCCTTTTCTGTTGGCTCTGCAGAACCATGTTCTGGTTTCTCAAGTGGAGTGGACTCTATGTAAAACAGCTCTCCTCGAGGATCTACTGCCAATTCCCAGTCTAACTCTGATCTTTAAAGACAAAGAAGAAAATTATTAAAGAGCCACACTAAATAATATATAAAGATATTCAAAACAACTCATGCAGAACACTGACATGTACATCATAAAAAATGGATATACCCGTAAAACAACCTTGGATGTATTAATAAAACAAAAAGATAAAGTATAATTTGGTTTCATGTCTTGCTTATATTGGCCTAAAAAGAAAAAAGCCTAACATGACACCAGGAAGAATAAAATTTTAATGCTAGCTCTTGCAAAGCAGAAATATAAGTAATCCTATATTCCTTTTTTATAAATCTACGTCAGCCTTCCACATCTATCACAGGCCCATATTATACATCAATTTACCTTATTTGTACTTTGCAAGTAATTCACCAGATTCTCTAAGAGAGAGAAGCCAAGCTTAATGTCTGTATTGTAATCTTATCTCTGCTAGCATTGTAAGTTGAAGCAGTCTGAAACTTCTGAAAAAGTGACTCATCTATGATATTATAGAAGGCTGCACCATAGCTCAAGCGGTTAGTCACTGGCTTCCCACAGCGGCAGCCCGGGTTTGATCCTGGCTCTGGTCAAGTGGGATTTGTGGTGGGAAAAAGTGGCGCTGGGGCAGGTTTTCTCCAAGTACTTCAGTTTCCCCTGCCAATATTCATTCCACCAAATTCTCCATCATCATAATTACCTGGGGCAGACTACAATAGGCCAATCAGTGGCTGCCGTGCGAGCAGACCCAGTTGGACTCCACCCCCCACTAAGTGAATTAAAAAAAAGTGCTATTACAAAATGTATACTAATATCCAAAGTAAACAAAATTCTCACTTGGAGGGGAAGGAATGGCAGATTCTGATTGCAGATCTCTGGAAAAACCCCATCTGATACATTAAGTATAGAAGTCAGTTCATGTCAAGTCTGGCAACAGCACTGCCACCAATAGGTGTTTTCCAACTAGAAAATTGCACGTACATGCTAAACATTAGTTGTCTGTCATGTAGGATACTTTCTTGCAACTGACATTTAAATGCCATACTATTAAGTTTAACAGGAAGCTGGGACAACATAGTCAGTAGAGCGACTGGCTATGGACAGAACGGCCAAGGGGTCGGAGTTTGATTCCCAGTAGAGTCAAGAATTTTCTGTTCTTCACGTCTTCTAGACTGGCTCTGGGGCCCACGCAGCCTCCTATCTAATGGGTACCAGGGGCTAAAGCGGCCAGGGAGTGAAGCTGACTTCTCACCTCCAACTAGAGCTGAGGTCAAGAAAATGTGGATCTATACACCCACTTTCCCAGATGCCTTCATGGTATAGTGCTTAATTAGTTAAGCATAGACAGCTTTACTTTTTTACCTTACTAAATTTAACAACTGGAGGTCTAATTAGTACCATGGTTGCACAAAAAGTGATTAACCACATTTTCTTGAAGCATAATTTCCAACAGAAAATAATTAAACTTTCAGTAGTGTGTCAGGGTTCTAGCCTGTGTTTGTTTTCAAATATTCTGACATATCTATCCAATGAAAAAGGAGCAACCACAGAGATAATCATAAAAAAGAAGCTGTAACTGAATTTCAAACAGCAGTCAACAATGGGGGGGGGGCAGACATTCACATTGTGTCATACCTCATATGACAGTAAATCTTCATAGTCACCATCCTGAGAATGTCAAATGTTACAAAAATAGGATTATTAGAATCAAAATGTCAGTGCCTTGTGGCATATGTGTAACTTACCCACTGCCAGAGTCTGAGGCAGCACATGATGAGGAACTGCAACTCGAGCCAGTTCCACCCCACCATCCATCTGACTGGCTGCAGGATTCTTCTTCTGAACTAGATCCACCATCAATTCTATATGGTTCATTTTCTGACACAAACTCTTTCATAAGGAGAGCCTGACTTTCTCCATTGTCATCCATTTTCTTATTATATTTCCTTCCTTGAGAACAAGACGGGATGATGATGGCGATGATATCACCAACCCCTATTTATTTGTTTGCCCCCCTTTCAACATCTGAACCAAACAACATATTTTCAACAAATTTGGCATAAATGTTATGCCACTGGAGGCAAGTTTATATGGTACTTTTTAATTCTTCCGAACGGCAATAACCACACTGTAGCCTTGTGAGATTTTTGTTAACATTTTTATTGACTGTAAAACATCAACATGATGGACAGGGAAAAAAATTCATTTAGGTTTCCGTTATAAAATAGGAAATGGCGCTACATCATAGGCATTCTTACAAACAATGCATGAAATACTCCTAAAATTAAATTAAGTGCATGAACTTTTGGGGGTGTATCTATCGGCACCATTGGTACTGTCTGCAATAGTAAATGTTATATACAGATTTCTCTTTAGGAATAACTTAGTACTCAACTACGATATGCTATGTTGCTCCAACTCTCCACCCATTTCCAGCCCGGCAAGCTAACCCATTAGCTGTTAATAAATTGCAAATAGATTATGAACATACATCTATTACTTATACGTCTCATTAAGAAATATCAACATACACGAACGCGAACGCGCGAACACCCCATTAGAAATCTTCCTGAAGTTCCTGAACTCCTGCCATCTACATGCAAACCGAGAAAAACAAATATCCAAGTACAGTATAAGGGAAGCATTATATTTCTCGGCTCTGTCGGTGGAGTACCGTGATTTAAAACTGCTTGTACCAACATAACGACACACACGCGCGCGCAATTACGTGAAGTCGCATTTAATCCCCGCAACTCGGACGGGAAAAGTAAATAGCCAAAATTAAGACAGATGATACAAACCATCACACTGAGCCACTAACGTTCTACCACATTGTTCTCTTCAGCGTATTTTGCCCCGCGGTCAAGGTCGTCAAGGTGGAAGGCCGAAATAAGTCGGAAACAGTCGAACAACCATTCACTGACAGGAGGTACCATCAATCTTTTTCCATATATTTTGACTTTTCTAACTTCCAGTGTATTCGCTACCAAGTAATGTGAATGGGTTTTACAAAATATAAATTTCAAATTTTGAACTTTGGGCATGTCCGAGAATTCATTTTTACACGAAGGGCCTTGCGGGGGGGGGGGAGGTGCAGCGTGCAGAGGCAGGGTCAAAGGCATGATCGGGCACGATGACCCCACGTGGAAGTACATTTACCATGGCAGTTGCAATATCTCTAGAAACACCGGGTGGGAAATAGTTACCTGTTACACCAAGTGGAACTGATGACGTATGATGGGTGACCATGAAGATGAGAGTTGGTGACAGTAAAAGCATCCATTGCTTTATAACAGGAGGCAAAATGGTTATGAAGATGGCAACCATATTTGCCAGCCTTGAATCCCTGCAATTCTTGGCTTTGGGCACATCGCTTTGATTAATTCAGCAGTAGATTACCACCCAACTAAAACATTTCCAAGCATCTGTCCATTACTGTGGAGACAACATCGAACCACATAAGGTACAATGCAGCCAATGGCCCTACACCAACAACCCTCTTCTGAACCACCCAGTTTTCAGTTTTACACCACTGGGTCTGTTGCAGTGCCACCATATTCCCCATATTACCTCAGTGACCCTCTTCACTGCTAATTCTCCCATATTCTATCTTCAGTCAATGAATCAACTATTTGACTCCAATAGCCTTTTTAACCTTTCTGAGTCACTGAATCACCCAAATTACTCTCTTGGAACTATAAAACATGTCGGCAACCATAATTCAAATGCAGTTTCAACTTACATCCAGAGCATAGTATTCAGCATGAAGACAACTGTCTATTGTTCTCTTGTATGAGGATTTTCACTTTGTTGATCAGTTCCATGCCTCTGTACTTCATGGTGGCAGGGGCGCCACTTGCTGTATACAAATTCTGCCGATGAATTAGCATGCCTGACAGCCAATAATGTTCGGAATGAAGTAGTTACAATTCACAGATCACAGGTTCTGAAAATGCTATCTCTCTACGTTGATATCTTTTACAATTAACTGTTTCGTTAAAAAACACAGGTACAGCAATCCTTGCGCTTACAGCACACCAAACACCAACTTTCACTGAATGGAGCAGGACTTTGTGGGTTCAATGTGGATTCTACAAACTCCAATAGCGATTATTTTGTGTATTTATGTATCCCTAAAAATGAAACCATGCTTCATCAGAAATAATGTCAATTGTAGATCAGTCCCACCTTTGACGACAAACTGTAGAAACCAACTGAAAGATGAACCCTGCTAGATGGATCACGCGGTTGCAAGGTGTGGATTACTGTTCTTTTATAGGGTCTATAATTCAGCAATTTTGTTGCCGTTCTTGCACTAGAATTTGACACTCCAGTAACTTGAGGCAGACGTTTCAGTGATTTTCTAGGTGTATATTTCTATGTCATCTAACTTCTCCTCAGTAAGCACTTGGCATTTATGCTTTTTGTTTCTTGTATAATACAAGTTCCATTGTTCTAAGTTTATTCACTAAATTGTGAACTGTTTGTCTGCTGGGAAATCTTCCATCACAAAATTGTGTTTTGCACAGATGTCATACAGAAATACATGTTGCTCTAAAGCAGGCATGTCCAACGTGTCGATCGTGGGACGATTTTTGGTCAATCTCATACGCCTATAAGGAAATTATACGTGAAAAGCATGTAAATTCACTTGTAATATAATATGATTATATTCAGATTTTGGAGGGAAAATACGTATTAGTCATTCCTAGTTTTCTGTTCTTAACGAAGAAGGTAAGTCTGTACTTTCAATGTATGTTACTTTTACAACAAACATCATGTGTCTTGTTATTTTTACCAATATTTTTGCTTAAAGCAAGGTACGATGATAGGAGGGGGTGGTAGATCACTGGCAGTTTTGACACTAAAAAGTCGATCACAACCTGTTTGAAGTTGTACATGCCTGCTCTAAAGTAAATGGCACCATAACATACCACACTGCTCACTGTATGTAACTGAGAACAAATGGCTAATGAAACTGATAACTGCTGACAAATCATATAGAAACTCTCACACATTAATGTAGACCCCACCACCAGAATCTCCATTTAGGAATCTGGAAACAATGGTGTAGATTTTTAATTTTTTTTATCATACTCATTTATTGTTTCAAATCCAAGAGTTTTTAGTAGGTTTAGATCCTCTATAAGATTTACATTCTTTTCACCTATAAAGTAAGTAAAAAGTAAAGCTATCCCTGTAACAGGCCGTGAAGGCCCATAGGGTTGTGAGATGTTAAGGGTCCCACATTACCTTGACAATTGGCTCAAAGATGGCAGTAAGGTTGTCAGCCTTACGCGCCGGCCGCGCTTCACTCCCCAGGAAAATCATTTAATTAATTCCTGGTACTCATTTCTGTTAGAGGCTGAGTAAAACCCCAGGGCCTAGTGTGGCCGGAAGGATTAGGTCAATTGAAAAAAATCCAATGACCTCATCGGTTCTACACTGAGATTTATATTAATATGTTTCTGTATGTCATTTGGAGGTAGAAATGGAATATTTTAAAGGTTCTCTGGATTATTTTGTTATATTTCCTCATTTAATCTATACATAGTTATTTGTCTTTATTCTAGTTGTTGGCTTCAAATTTTATACAAATTTAGAGTCCTATGACATCAAGATGCTGATCACAGTGGCCGTGCGGTCTAAGGCCTGAACCGTCTTTGCCCGCTCAAATACTGGGACTGTGGGTTAGAATCCCAATCGAGGCATGGTTGTCTGTGTTGTTCTGTGTGTAGACAGTGGCCCTGCAACAGGCTGATCCTCCATCCAAGGAGTCCAAGGTCCAAAGGGCTGTACAGCCATAAAGAAAAGAAAAAAGATGTCAAATATACGTGTATGTTCTCTTTTCCATAAAGTTTTTTTTGGAATTTGTGTCCACTGCAAGTGTATGTGGGTTCGCTTTTGCTTTGTATTCGAATTTCACGTAGCAGTACTTCTAAGTTCACATATTATTCTCCTAGCAGACTGATGAATGTTAGGAAGTTTTCTTTCATTTGTTCTAAAACACTGCATCCATATTGGCAATGCATATTTCAAGGTGTGCCTATTCACTGTAATGTAAGTTAATCTACTTTTCTTGCTCTATGAAAATGTTACTTATGCATTTCTTAAGGGATAATGTAGGATCTAGTATGACTCCACAGTATTTTGGGTATTGTTCATAAATTTAAGGCTAGTTACTTAATTCCAGTGTGGTCTCTATGCACACAGGTGACTGTTTACTGTTACCTTTGATTTCACTGGATTTAATATAATTTTCACTCCTTCCAGAATAATATGTCTGCTGTTAAGAGTTTTTTTTGTAGCTGGTTTTGAGCTACTTTCTGATTAGTGCGCACGATTCTGTACTGAATTCTGGATATCTTCAACAATTCATAATAGAGTAGAATAAGCATACTATTTCTTTCTGTATATAGCTATAATAGCCTTGTATTATTTAAATCATCTTCCTGTTGTGTGTTTCATGCACTGTACTCAGATTCATAGGCATTACTACAGGAATTTAAATCTATTTCATAAGATCACTTCAACTTGTTCTGTGGACTAATGAGCAGGATACCCTCTTTTCATTTATAAAAAGTTGTACAGAAATTGGGTTAAACATGAAACTAGCAATGCAAATGTATTAGGAGCTGTAGATGATGCAGTACAATTACAGACAATACACTCCTAATTACTGAGTAGCTGGTTCATATATTATGCTCAAATATAAATTCACAGAGTTAGCGACTTAAGATCTGTGCATATTTATTCCACAGCAAATAAGGAACTCCTAAAATATGTAAAGTCAACAAAAAGTTTCTTTGAAATAACTCTAAATTAATGTAGCATTTTAAAACATATAGTTAGTTATGTATCTGTACATATTCCTGTCATTACTGTACTCTAAATATAATCTATAACAGCACTTCTTAGATTTAAAAAAATACTTTGTTCTCATTTTATCATGTTAAATTGTTCCTCCAGAAGTGTTTGCATCTGCAACCAGAGTGCTCATAAACTTTAAAAAATTAGCCTCTATAGGAAATGCAATTTATCCTACTTCTTAGAATACAATAGGTATAATACAATTCAAACTAAACCATCATGTTTGAAGATTATGATTAATTCTATCATCAGAATATCTACATACACTTTAAAATATTTCCTTAATTCTTGAGATCATTATCCAAAATTGAACAAGTAAAAATGATAATACATATACTTTAAACTGTTACTGAAGGAAGCACTAGTCTTCTAGAGGTAAACATTTATCTTGCAATGTAATAGATTCATTACATTTTGTGTCCCCACAGGATATTTTACACAACTTCATGTACCAGTCATTTAAAAATGTACATTACATATGTTTGTGTACTTTTATGTCTGTAAAATGTCACTGAAAGCATCTAAATTAAAACTACAACAATATACATATATATAACAGCTTCAGACAGACAAGTAGGCACTTAATTTGCCAATTATCACATTACAATACACAGATCTTTACATCGAAGTATAGCTCCAAAATCTTGATTTTATCATAATTAAATAGGCTAGTTTGGTTTGCATCTCTGTAATTATCCAAACAACCTTTATTTTAATTTACAGAGTAAGTCTTAAGTTATTACACTATACAGTGAATGGGAGCATTTATGTGTATGTTCGTGATGCTACTAAAAATCCTTTCCAATGTCAAGTTCTCAATTAAACATATAAATACATCTGCATGAAAAATAACTTCACATGTTCACAAAGCTGTTTGTAATTTGCTGCTTTAGGATGTTGTGTCTGTCATGTGAATGCTCTCCT